GAGAGCTGTGGCATCCTGCAGGCCACGTCCCAGGAGTCTATGAAAAGGGGAGAAAATGCAGTGGTGGGGGTGGAGGTAGGGAGTGTATAGGAAGTCAGTCCAGGACAGAGAAATTACCCTAGGTTCTTAATAAGCAAGAGACATGTGTACAGGTTTTCTGAACATAGATAGACTCAAGTTAATGCTTGAATTTTAAAAAAATACTAATTTAAAAATAAAACCTGCAAGATTTTAGCAAGTTATCCTAATATTACAGAGTGGAGGTGGAGGTAGGGAGTGTATAGGAAGTCAGTCCAGGACAGAGAATTTACCCTAGGTTCTTAATAAGCAAGAGACATGTGTACAGGTTTTCTGAACATAGATAGACTCAAGTTAATGCTTGAATTTTAAAAAATACTAATTTAAAAATAAAACCTGCAAGATTTTAGCAAGTTATCCTAATATTACAGATATGTCAGTTTGGATAAGATTCTTGCATCAAGTGAATTGATTAATGTGAAAATTAATTCATAAATCTTAGATATCAGAAAGTGAATAGGATTTGTGAGTTAACAATATTCCATATATATATATATGTATGTATATATATACATATATATATATATATGAGTTTTTTCTAGTTCATCTTACTGCCAGTATTTCATCTTAAGAGTGGCAATTAAGAAAGGAAAAACACTTTTTTTCCCCTGCGCTTAGTGTCCACTAAAACTTGTGGGTAGAACATTTTACCCAAATATAGGCCTTTTAGTGATTAAGCTAATTTACTCTTTTCAAACTGTTACATCCTGTTTATAAGAAAGAAGACTTATAAAAAGTCAACTTGAGCATGAACTAACTCTTCAAAAAAGTCAACATCTTGGTGAACTTATGTGTTAAGTGAGTCACAACTATTTGGATGAAAATTTTTTGGTTTTGAAAGAGAAAGTACATGGAAAAAATGTCATTTTGGTTTCACTGAAATGGAAAGATTTGAAAAAATGGAATTCGCTGGTGAGCCTATCATATAACAGGTTTCCGCACACATTTCTTAAGTCAGTTCCGTGAATTTGTAGAGCTGCATCTCCCATGGGCCAAATCTTAACCATAACGAGATGCATTTAGTCTCCATAATCCTTCCGAGAAATAATTTTTTCAATGTTGCACCAAGTAAAGTTTTTACAATATTTTGAAAGTGCTATTATTCACTTTGTAAACTATATTCTTAAAATTATTTGTCCCCCCAAAAGAGATGAACTTGTGTCTATTCACATTATTTACCTGATAGAAAATATTTTCTTTTTATTTTGATCCTTTACTGTTTGAAAATGTCATTGTGGGCAATTAAAAGTCTAATTTATCTAGAGTAAATCAATATTTTATACTTGATTTTTTTATTGCTAATTTTATTTTATTATTATTTTTTTATTTAATTTAATTTTACTTCTCAAAATACGATGTACTTGATTTTCATGCCCCTTTACCCATTCCTCTCTCCACCCCACCCCATTATATCTGTGCACTTGGCTTAAATAGTTCAAGGAATTTTTGTAGTTATTCTGTCTTCTTTCCCCCACCCTTTATTTGTTTGTGTGTTTACTTATTTATTAATTTTTAGCTCCCACAAATAAGTGAGAACATGTGGTATTTCTCTTTCTGTGCCTGACTTGTTTCACTTAATATAATTTTCTCTAAGTCCATCTAACTCCAGTTAGGATAGCTAACATCCAAAAGACTGAGAATGATAAGTGCTGGAGAGATTGTGGAGAAAAAGGAACTCTCATCCACTGTTGGTGGGGCTGCAAAATGCTGCAGCCTTTATGGAAAATGATATGGAGGTTCCTCAAACAATTGCAGATAGATCTACCATATGACCCAGCAATGCCACTGCTGGGAATATACCCAGAGGAATGAAATCATCATGCCGAAGGGATACCTGTACTTCAATGTTTATTGCAGCTCTATATACAATATCCAAGAGCTGGAACCAGCCCAAATGTCCATCATCTGACGAGTGGATAAGGAAACTGTGGTACAGCTACAGAATGAAATACTACTCTGCTATAAAAAAAGAATGAAATACTACCATTTGCAACAACAGGGATGGACTTAAAGAAAATTATACTTGATTTTTAATGTATACTCGCTATTTCATAGTTGTTCTTCTGAATGTCTGGGTTGAATTTTTGTGGATTAAGTAAATCTATGACTTCTGTTTAAGCACTCCCAGTCTCTGTGCTGTTGATCCTAAAATTCTTATCTCCTACTCTGCCCTAAGTGTTAGATCTGCATTTAACGATCCTGCTGAGTACCTTCATCTGTTTGTAACACAGCACTTCAAAGAGTTCATGTCTCAGTTTGCATTTCTCCCCTCCCTTCCTTCCTTCCTTCCTTCCTTCCTTCCTTCCTTCCTTCCTTCCTTCCTTCCTATTCCTTCCCATATTCAGTTACTGTGCCATCTGCCTAGTGAGAGTCTGTGGGCATCAGAGTCCATCCTTTCACTTATCACACCAACTAATCGGTGGTCATCAATCTCTCATGATTCTGCCTCTAAAATGGCTCTTCTTTCTACCCCTGCCTTAACTCAGACCCCATAATTTCTTAGCTAAGTTTAGAACAAAAGTTTCTCATGGGCCTTGCCTGTCAATCCTTCCTTCTCTGCCACTAGATCTGACTGTGCATATAGTCAAACATAAACATAGGACTTATCTTCCTATAAACTTTTACCTACCTAACATTGAGTTAGGATCCAGTCTTAACAACCCGATGCAACCAAATTTTTCTAGATTCCTTTCTCCCATCTTCTGTTCCCTGGCTCGCATCGATGCGGAGATTTATCCACTACTGAAAGCTCTTTGAATACGCAGCACAGTGTATTTCACACTGGACTAGTCCACGTTATGATCTTTATTACTTAAGACTCACCTTCTCCCTTTTCCCCTTCCCCCTTACAGAGGTAAAAATTATTTCTTCTGTGTCCTCTCACAGCACTTTTATATTCTCTTTTGCTATCACTTGATGTCCCCCATTGTGGTCAGTTGTCTACACGAGGCTTTCTTGGGCTAAATTATAAATTTCTCAAGACAAAGACTTGATTCCTTATTTGTGAAAAAAAAATAATAGTTTCAGTGTTTGGGACTTAGTAAGTGCCCCCATTAATATGTGCTGAATAAGGGATGTGTTAACATGAATCCAGATTCTCACAGGAGCAGTTATTGTATGAAATGGACAGAGAAGTACCTCACAGATTAAAGAAAAAGATTAAAGAAAATTTGCCATTTTTTCCCCCTGAGAGCTAGGGATTTGAGTTTATGACAAATGTGGGAATTTCCTTGAAAAGTCAGAAAATAATGAATGGCAGTATTACCTGCAAATTACTATTTCTTCACGTTAGACCCATCTATGTATCATCTCTGGCATTTGTTATCAATCCATTGTATTGATGGCTTTAAAATAAGAATCACCACTAGAGTTGTACATTTTCTGTTCGGTTTGGCATTAAATCCATTGGGTAGCATGTAGTTATTGGCAATAAGGTAAATATACTAAGTTACTGCATACCAAATAGTGTGATTGATCCTACCTTCTACTTGTTACAATAGAAGTGGAAAGATAAACTTAGTACACATGGAAGAATTAAGTGCTAGACTAATTGAGACAGATTATAATAAATGAAAAAGAAACATGGAGCAAGAAAAAACCTGGAGAAGTAATGAAAGGTCCCATTAAGAACTTATTTAACTTGCTCTTGAAAAATAGATAAGAAAATGAGAAATTCAGTGTGAAGAAAATAACATGGGTCAATTGACAAGAATATTAGATTTCTATGTTTTGCAAGCCACAGGTTCGGTTGATAATTTTAGCAGATATCTAGATTGTTTACTTTTAGGAATACGAAGTTATTTTGTTCTGTTTTGTTTTTCTTTCACAGGGGGATCAGATATTGAGTATTTGGACTTCTATAAGCCCGTCGTGTGGTTTTGGATCCTAGTAGGGCTGGCTTACTTTGCTGCTGTCCTGAGCATGATTGGAGATTGGCTCCGAGTGATATCTAAAAAAACAAAGGAAGAGGTGAGGAGTAAGAAGTGTGCAAAAAACACTTCTGTTTGGCTAATTCAGTAAAGGCTGTTTAATTTTTTTTATGTTTACATTTTTAAATATTTAAAAATTATATAAAAATTTAATATTTATGTTTGGTTTGAATTTGCTGTATGAGGCTATGGGAAAATATATCACATGAGTAACAATTTTGTCCCTTAAATAATATTTAATAGACAGCTTTTATGTGCCAGGTGCTGCCTAGGAACTGAGGGTAATTTGTAGTGAAAAAAGTTGTAATTAAAAACATTTTCTTTATTATTCTTTTCTTTTTTCTTTTGTTTTCTATCTTTTTTTTCCCTAAAGGGCACAAAGTGAATTTTATTTCATGAAGGAAAATACAATTAAATATGCTTATATCAAGATATCAGTAGTGTGAAATAGTGAATGTTTTATATAATGTTGAATTTTTTATGCTAATTGTTTCCTTTCTCATGTCTATATCATTGTGTGTGCATGTGCACACACACACACCCACACTCTCTCTCCAAAGCCACATGCCTGGTGGCCATTTTTCCTGGGTACAGATTTTAGCTCTTCAAATGATGTCCTCTTACCTATTTGGTACAACTACACATATAGAAATGAACATTAGAATTTTGATCCATAAAATTTTGGAAAATCCAAAATGTAAGTATTGATTTAAATATTTTATTGTTTGGAAATTAAATTTTTTTTTTTTTTTTTTTTGTCTTTTGTCTTTTGTCTTTATTCCGTGTCCAGCAACGGATCGCAACCCTCAGTGTTGCCCCCGTACCGGACCGGGGACCGGCAACGGGATTGCAACCCTCGGTGTTGCTCCCGCGCCCCGCTCAGCCAGTGAGCGGGAAACGGTCCGCATGTGAGATCTGAACCCTCGGACGGGAGCGCCGCCGCGCTTCCCAAGCGGCGCACTATCCAGTGCGCCACCGGGCCGGCCCTGGAAATTAAATTTTGATTATACATTTACATGTCCAGAAGTACTGTTCATTTTAGTGTGACAGAGTAGTGTTTTATTTTGAAGTCTATCTTTTTTGCTTCTATTTCGTAGTCAATTTTGCTAATTGTTTGAAAGAACAAGAAATCTGGAAAATCTGCACCTATAAGCCTCACTGCCTTCCTTTAATTAGTCCCTCCATCTCATTATCTGATGTTCATAGACCAGGAGACATTAGTGTCAAAATCTTTGATTGCTACAACAAGCACAATTCTTTAAACATATACCCACTAAAGTAGACTATGATAGGAAATGATAAGTTAATATATCTTTACAATTTTTTTTGTTTTATTTGAAACTCGTCAAATCATGTAATTTTTTATTAATACCTAAGATGTCTATGGTAACTAGCAAGAATATAAATTACCCAACACTTCCCTTCATGGATACTATATTTTCCAATTGGAAATTCATATATTTAGTCTATATGCATTAATCTATATCTTACTTGCACCATAAAACCAAAAATTTTTTTATTATAAACAATCAGCAAGATAATATGCTTGCCATTCTAATTTAAATTATGTGAAAAGTCCTGCCTTGAACAGGATCTCAGTGGATTTGCCTCAATCACAGGCTCATTGTGTGTGTTTGTGTGCGTGTATGTATTACATATTTAGTATGTGTATATATGTGTGAGAGAGAGAGAGGGAGAGAAAGAGAAATGGAGGGAGATATTGAGAGAGAGAGAAATGTATTTATTCTAACTTCATGTGTACTTTTTAAGGATCTTGAGATGCTAGGAGAAAAAGGAAATTGTAGCTAAGAAATGTATCAGATAACATAGCAAAAAAGAGAACTGCTCAAACATCCAGCCATAAACTGACTTTCAAATAAATTTAAAAGCACACACAAGTATTTATTTCTTAAATAAAATACTTATATGAAATACTTATATATAATATTACAAATGTTTGCACGTGTGTATCACAAAACAATACTTTTCCTATCTAACTATATGAGCTATGTTCCACAGACTGGGTGGCTTAAACAACAGACATTTATTTTCTCACAGTTCTGGAAGCAGGAAGTCCAAGAAGGTATTAGCTGGCGTGGATTCTGGTGAGGCCTCTCTCACAGGTTTCCCACTGTGTCCTCACGTGGCCTTTTCTGTGTGAGCATGCATGGAGAGAGAGAAAGAGAGACAGAGAGAGAGAGAGCACGCTCTGGTGTCTGTGTTTCTCTTCTTATAAAGACACCAGTCCTATTGGATTAGGACCCCACTCCTATAACCTCATTTAACCTTAATTACCTTCTTATAAGCCCTATCTTCAAATATAGTCACAGTGGGGGTTAGGGCTTCAAGACGTGAATTTTGGAGGGACACATTTGAGACCGTGACACCATCCTTTGAAGTAAATTTAAATTTCTACGTAGCTTATTTACTTAATATGAAAAACAAGTTTGTGTGCCTACTTATGAGAGATCTTCATGAATGTCAACTAAAAGTATAAGATCTCTCTTTGTGTTTTAAGCCAATTAAACATTGCATTTGTTTCTTATCACAAATCTTTTGGCTTCTACCTGGTGTTTGAGTAGCATGTACTTTCTGGCGATTGCATCTATGGAAAGCTCATGAGTAGAGTCCATGATCAAAGGTTTATGTGAACCCTCTGAAGCTGCAGCTGCTTTGGACAGTTTAGCCAGTTGAAATGGAACTTTCAATGTGAGCATATGTGTATTTTCAGATTTATAATGTAATTTGGGGTAATGCAAAATAGGGTCATAAATTCAACAGAAAATAGGAAGAGGAAAGAAAGAGAAAGACAATTCATGATTTATCTAAAGATTATCAGGACCAAAGTTTACACAGACAAAATGCCACTAAAATTTCTATACCAATGGAAAAAATTTATTAGATACTTTTAGTTCTGAAATAACTCACTGAAGGGTATAATTAAACAAAAGCCAAGTAAATATATTCTAGTTCCCGTCTTTACCTAGATAAACCAATGCCAAGTGACTGTTCCATAGGTATTCCTTCCTTTTCGTGTCTAAACCATTTCAGATACTTAAACTTTTAAAAACTTACAAAGTGTTCAGAGGCAACAAAGTTGTTCTAGTTTTCAGTTTTGATGAATAAAAGTGCTAAATATTTTTGATAACTGGGAATGCTCTCCACTAAAAAAAATGTAACCAGTACAGAATTTAAAAATACAAAATAAAATACAGCTTCACCTTTCCGAGTGATCATACCAAGATACATGCTTTCCCTGAATGAAAAGATTTTGGCTAATAATATGTCCCAGCCTTGTACTGTGTTTTCAAAAACAAATCTGCTTAAACCATATTGGTAAAGTATGAACATATAGATCTAATCATATGTGGCCATATTTCATTTCTGCTTTTTATGTTAAAACATATTCTGTTTTCAATGAAGAATAACTTTAATGAAATTATTATGTTTGGAAGTAGTGAAAAATGTTGTTTTCCATCAGCATGCTGAAGTAAAACACGTTAGTATAGCTAATCCATCTGACATATTTGAAAAGGAAATGGTTAGTTGGAACAACACTGTATTGTTTCAGAAGTGCCACATATAATTATAGTTGATCTGCATTACTCAGAGAAAACTATAATGAGCTCAATAATTTTTCCATGGAGACACACTCATTTCTGTTAAAGTGTTTGTTTCATCTTTTTTAAGCTCTAACAAAAAGTAGGCACATAATTAACAGTAAGGATTGGTATGAACAATTACCTTTTCTATGATATCATATACCCTCTTCTGAGGAAATGATGTTTCCATTTAGGTGTTCTGGATAATACAATAATACTGCTACCTGAGGCAGGTGTAATCAAAATAAGATGTGACCGCAAACTCAGAAGGTAAATTCATGCCTGCTTAGGAAGCAAGCAAGGAATAGTGTGTCCTGATCATGCACAGGCATACCTCAGTTTCCTACTGTTTACATTTCTTGAGCTTGAAAGGGTCTCTGATTTCCATGCACGACTTTTGTTGATGTCCTTGCACGACACCACATTTGGAATGTTCCTGTGTACCTGTGAGATAAACACCGCCACCGCCCCTGCTGTAACGTGCCAGTGTTTTTAGGCCAGTGGCATTGCTGCTGGCGACAGTGATTGGATAGTCAAGCAACACGTCTTTACCAATATCATTTCTTTAGTCTCTGGGGATGTTCATGCAAATGGAGATGCTCACTTTACTAACTTGGCATAACACCCTAGTAAGAAAACACCCTTTTCTAGACTGGCCAGATCTAGTGCCAAGAAGCCTTGAAAGACAGTCCCTAGAACTTATATTTGGCCCCAGTATTGTGAAGGCACCTGAGAACATGGAGGGACATAGTTTTGTCCTGCTGGCTACCTGGTGGAAGCATTTCATCTCCTCTGAACTTCACTCGGGAGGGCAAGGAACCTTTCAGTGAAAGAGCTGGGACTTGGAGGCTCTTTATCTTGGCCATAGATGGCAATTAAAGAACAGTTGCAGCCTGAACCCTGCAGTAGAGCACTTCATCATGATTTCTTATGGGAGAAGTGCTTTTAATATGAAAGGTTTTATATGCCAGTTTATAATAGCTCAGCCTTTATTCTTAAAACCTTAAGGAGCCATGGAAGGATTTTATGTAGAATGAATTGTCCCAGCAACAGTGAGGAAGGTGGATTAGAAGTGAACAGAGCTGGATGCAGGGAAGTCACTTGGGTGATTATGGCAACAATCCAGGTAATATAGAATGGATGGGCTATGGTGGCAGTGGGGTAGAGATGAAAGTACAGGTTTCAAAAATATTTGGGGGATAGAAGGAATAGAATTTAGTAACCCATTAGCTGTGGGCAGTAAAGAGAAAGGGAGGGTGACATTCATGATTCTAACTTTGGGGAGGAATATAGAACACAGGAAAATGAAGGATTTCGAGTAAACTGGAAGAATGAGAAACTCTTATTTTGGACATGCTATGATGGGCAGATATGTTGGACATCCAGGTAGTTAATTCAGGTCTAGAAAACTGGACCTGCATGCCTGAAATGTAGGAAA